TTGGTGAAAAACGGACGTCGTTTGACGTGATTCGGACCTAAATTGCTAAATTTGATACTTGATGAAGTTTGAGAAAAAGTTCTTGATTTTGAGGTTTGATTAATTGTTATTGAGGTTATTTTGGCGATTTGATTGCACGGATAAGTTTATATAATGTTTTTGAGTTAGTACGTATGTTTGGTTTGGAGCCCCGAGGGCTCGGGTGAGTTTTAGATAGGTGTCAGAGTGTTTTAAACTTAGAAAAATCTGGATTTTCTGCTGCATCTGGTGTTCAGAGATTTAGTTCTATGCGATCGCATAATGTAAAGCTTCAGGGTCCTGTTTTGTTAAACGCGATCGTATACATCTCTCCGCAATCGCGTAGAGTTAAGTCTGAGAGGTCCTTCTTTTGTTCTATGCGATCGCACGGTCTACTCCGCGATCGCGATGTGTTAGCCCCCAGCCTTCCTTTCCTTCTATGTGATCGCATGGTATAGTCTGCGATCACAGTGCTCAGCCTCAGTTATTCTATGCGATCGCATCCTTCTATCCACGATCACGTAGGCCAATATCGTCCAGTTAAATTTTAAAATCCAGAACAGTAACCTTACGGGATTATTACAAAATTTCATAAACCTCTTCTTCTCCAAAGCTCTTAAGCAATTTTTGAAGCAATTCCTCACCATAATCTCTTGGGTACGTAATCTTTAACTTGTTTCCTTCCATTTTCATCAACACCCACTAGATTTCTAGGCTTAAAACATGAGATTAAGAGTATAAAATTAGGGATTTGGATAGAATTAGGGCTTTTTGATTAATTGCGATTTAGTCCTCGTTTTGGGGTCGGATTTGAAAACAAATTATATATTCGGGCTCGTGAGTGAATGGGTAATCGGGTTTTAGTCCGAACCTCGTGTTTTGACCAAGCAGGCCCGGGGTCAATTTTTGGATTTTTGGGAAGAATGATTAGAAAGCTATAATTAGGCATTGGATTCGAATTCTTTAACATTTATTAAGTCGATTATGTATAGATTCGATTGGGTTGGAGCCAAATTTGAAAGGAAAAGCGGTGTTTGAGGCTTGAGTTGGTCGTGGAAGTTTGAGGTAAGTGTCCGGTCTAACCTTAGCTTGAGGGATTAGGAGTTGTGTCCTATTTGCTAATTGCTTCTTGTTGAGTACGACATATAGACATGGTGACGAGTATCTATACGTTGGTGTCGAGCATGACCGTGAGTCTTAAATTGATAGTTGTTGTGTTCTTAAATGTTACTACGGATGCTTTAATTGATGACTCTCGATATTGAGCAAAGATTTAGTTTATTCTCGTGGATTTTATTTATTTATGAATATTGGTATTAATTGAGCTGAGTAAAAGTTGAGTTAGGATTAGTTATAGCTGATTGTCCCTTGCCAGGATGTNTGCAACAATTCTCAATATATTAATTAAATTCCTTCGATTTCAATAAATTTCTAATTTATCAATTAGTCTAATTTACAGGAATAACAAAAATTCCTTAACAAGTAGAGATAATAATTCTTTAAGTTCCAAAGATTTCCAATTTATCAATTAGCTTCACCAGCTGTAATAAACTACCAAAGTATCGTGTAATTATTATTATTAGGCATGATTTCTGTCGAGGTTGTACGGCCCGATCCAGAGTATTGTGTACACTGCCGAGGGACGTGCGACGCGATCCATAGATGCATCTATCCTGCCGAAGAGTTCGACCCGCTCCACAAGAAAGGAGGACATTTGCTTATGTACCTCCGGAAGGAGAGTATATTTATTATATGATCAATTCGAGAGGAATGAACAATTTCTTTTAACAATTAATAAATTTAAACAGAAAATTAAGCATATGAGATTTTTATCTTTTAATATTTTTACCTAAGAATTCACAATTATATATATATATATATATATATATCACTACACAGGTTTATCTGGAGTTTGGTCCTAGCCTCGTCACTACCTCGTCGGGGATAGGTCAGGCACTTACCAGCACATGGGGTCGGTTGTGCTGATACTACATTCTGCACTCTGTGCAGATACCGGAGCAGTACTTGGTCAGCAGCAACAGCTCGGGAGCCAGCCTTCAGTCCACCGAGATCCCGAGGTAGTCCTGCAGGCGTCCGCAGGCTCGACATCTCTTCTATCTATTTAGATGTTCTGTTTTCTTTTGTATCCGAGACAAACTATATTTCTTTGGTTTCAGACACTTGTATGTAGAATTCTTAGACAGTCCGTGAATGTTGTGACACCAGTTTCTGGATAGAGGCACATGTGGAGTTTCTTATTATTTTGGTTCATTTTATCTAAGTCTTCCGCTTAATCTCATATTCCGCTGTTATTTAAATGTTTATCGCTCGTTAATGTATGTTATAAAAAGGATTAAAACCAAAGAGTTAAGACTTTCTAATTTTGTGACTTGCCTAGCTTCTATGAGCATGTGTCATCACGACTCACGAGGGTGAGAAATCCGGGTCGTGACATGTCTTTATTTAGGTTTAGGATTCATTAGGCTTTTCTTTATTCAGGAATAGAATTCTTTACTAACGTGTAGGTTTCTTTTAGGTTTTAGGCTTATTTAGGTTTGACTTCTTTGGAATATCTTGTCCTGTTTTTGGTTTCCTTTAAATATGATTTAAAGTGCAAAACAAGCTAACTTTCAAAATATCTGATGTTCCAGGGATATTGATTGATGTTCTTTTTCTACCTTTTCCCTCATTGATATGTTTATTGTTTTTGTAAAGTTACTAGACTTCTCACCTTTATATCCAAGCTCACATTGTTTCTGGATATTTTTTTATGTTTACTGATTCCAAGAATTTGGAGCTATTAAAATATTAGGTATTCATAGAAAATTAATTTTGAAATCTAAGATGGTGTATTGAATTCATATATTTCTGTTATAAAAGTTCTAATTTCAAGCTAGGGAGAAAATACATTCTTCTTTCAATGATATTTCTGTTATTTTCTCATCCATTTGGAAGAGAAAATTGTACTCTTTAGCATTTGGGTATTTGTTATTATTTGATTGGATATGGAATCTAGAGTTCTTTGTGTTACCCCTGTTAATATGAAGTTTGTATTGGAGGGGAATTGAGATGAAAAGAGATTTGAATTAATTTGGTTGGAGATGGAATTTAGAGCTTTTCTGAAGTTGGCGCCGATTGTGCAGAAGAAGGGGGAATTTGGGGTTCATTTTTGGGGGAAGGACAAAAAGGTCCATATATTTAATGAAGTGGCAAAAAATAATAAGGGTATTTTGGGCAAATCAAAAGTGTATACATTGCTAACCCATATATATAAAAGTTGTTATTGATTGATTCTTCAATATTCTCATATAAGTGAAGAAAGATTCATGTGGAGTGCGTGATTGAGACTTAGTGCTGATTACCGTCAGATTTTAAAGGCAAGTTCTTTTTTCATTCATATTATATTATTTCTATTTATGTTGTGGAGGTTTTTACATGTTTGTACATATTATATGTTCACATTAATACTTCTTTGCCATAACCATATTATAAGAAGAAGAAACATTTGAGATCTAATTGCAAAATTAGCTATTGTACTTTTTGATTTAATTTTTTATAAATATCTATCATAGTTTTCAAGTATATGGAATGATAGAGTCTATTACTATTAGACGTGGTTTAATAACATCATGTAATATATGTAACACATGTACCTCAAGTGTAAAGTAACGACCTTTATATCAGTTAATCAAACGCTACTCCAACAATACATTTGTTCAATAAAATAATTACATGAACAAACCAGAGAAGAAACATTAGAGCTAATCTGAGCCGCTAAATATAATAAACATTTATTTGGAATTTGCATCTTTTGAAAATTATTTATGTTATTTTTAAAAAAAGTATTTTATTAATATGAGGTACACGCGCAACGCACATACACTAAAATTAGTTAAAATAATAAATGTCAAATATGCTCTTTTCACTTTAAGCTTAGAATTTCTTTCCCTTTCACTGAGAGCCTGATATCTGAGTTACGACGATGCTAAACAACCTGCTTCTCACTACCCATATTTACACATTATAAATTATTTATAGGCGATACAATTGCACAACCCGCAAAATTGTTAGCTTATGATTTCCATATTATATGTGTCACTTACTGGAGAAAGAAATAGCACTTTAATTTTCTACATGATTAAGGACAGCACGAACATTTTAGTCCATCCTTTTAAATGTGACTCAAGTTTCTTTTTTGGAAAATCAAATATTACCATCAAATTCTGTGAGTGAATAAGCTAATGAATTTCAATCGAAAGCCAAAATTGTCTCGCTTTGTCATCAGCGACGAGCTTAGAGAGTATCTCCTAAAATAATTGCTTACTACTCTGTGTTCGTCCAAAATCTCTAAGGGGACATTCAGGGATTTGAAATTGTTAGAAGAGTTCAGTAAATAAAAAATTCAATATAGGTTCATACCAGAGAGAAAGATGTCTATGATATAAAGTTTTGCATAGAAAAATTACAAGTCCAAATATCAATAGATAAAGAGAGGGAAAGACCACACTCTCTCTACTCTCTAACCAAAACAGCATCTTAAGATGACCACATCCCCACTTAAAAATTCCATCGGAACCACCTCATCTTCCTATTGAATTTGATATGGAGGAAGATACTTCCCAAAAAAAACTCTGTAAATCTACTAAATTGAGCTAGGTATGAAGAAGAATTGATTAGGGTTCATAAGAGAAAGAGAAACGAGAAAGAGGAAATCTCATTTCTGTTAAGTTCTAAAATGTTCCGACCTATCTCTTATCTCTCTATTGTTTTTACATTATACTGGGCTTAGCCCAGAAGCTCAAATACAAATAAATACATTCTAGCTAAACCGGTAGTGGGCCTATATCATGGGCCTATATCATGGGCCATAGTAAGCTGAAGTCCAACACCTCCTTCAAATTGGAGGGTGCTACAACCCCCAACTTGAGCAACAAAGAGTGATGAATAGCTCTAGTGAGTGGCTTTGTAAAAATGTCGGCGAGCTAAGAAGTGGTAGGAACATGATTCAAGGAGATTAGTCCATTACTAAGTTTATTCCGAACGAAATGACAATCCAATTCAATGTGCTTCGTCCGCTCATGAAAAATAAGATTCTTCGCAATATGAATGGCCGCTTGGTTGTCACAAAAAACTAGCACAACAGAAGATACATCAACATCAAAATCAGATAAAATTTGAACAACCCAAGTCAACTCCGCAACCACCTTACTAATAGCTCGGTACTTAGCCTCAGCGGAAGAAAGGGAGACAACTGGTTGCTTCTTAGCCTTCCAACTAATGTGAATCCCCAAAAGAATACAAAACTCAGTGGCTGATCTTCGAGTGTCTGGGCAAGCATCGCAGTCACTATCACAGAAGGCAGATAAAGAAAGAGATGGAGAATTGCCATAAAACATCCTAACATCAGAAGTACCTTTGAGGTATCGAAGTAAATGCATAGCAGCCTTCCTGTGGGAAGTATAAGGGGCCTACAGGAACTGACTGAAATGTTGGACAACAAAGTAGAGGTCAGACCTTGTGTGAGTCAAAAAGTTCAACTTCCCCACCAAGCTTCTATAAGTGTCAGGAGAAGGTAGAGGATCACCCATGGCAACCTTCAATTTAGAGTTCAAATCCAAAGGACAAGTCACATGAGACAACAATTCACAATTATTTTCATGAAGTAGATCTCTGATAAACTTGCTTTGATGTAGTAATAGCCCAGAAGGAAGATATGCCACATCTATGTCAAGAAAGGAGTTAAGAACACCCAGATCCTTGATTTTGAACTGATTGTCCAAGAAGAGTTTCAAAGCAGAGATTTCTTCCAAATCATCACTAGTAAGTATTATATCATCCACATAAACGACAAGGAGGACAATGGAACCACCTGATCTTCTGATGAAAAGGGAATAGTCATTCAAATAATGGAAATAACCCCTAGAACACAAAGCATGAGACAGCTTGGCATACCAATGCCTAGATGCCTGCCTCAAACCATAAAAAGATTTCTGAATATGACAAATAAAATTAGAATACTGACCATATGAAGCAACACTCCCAGCAGACAAACCAGGGGGCAATTTCATGTAGACCTCCTCATCCAAGTCCCCATGCAAAAATGCATTATTTATATCAAGTTGAAACATAGACTAATTCCTTTTCACAGCCACAACAATGAGACATTTAACAGTAGAAAATTTGATGACTGGGGAAAAGGTTTCATTAAAATCTACACCCTCCACCTGTGTATCACCCCTAACAACCAACCTAGCTTTATATTTTTCTATAGACCCATCAGCCTTATATTTTATCTTATAGACCCATTTACAACCTATGGGTTTCTTTCCAGGAGGTAATTCAACAATGGACCAAGTATCATTAGCCTCAAGAGCCTCAAATTCCTTTCTCATGGCCTCTTGCCAAGCTGGAATAGAAGCTTCCTGATGGTAATATTGGGGTTCTAGGCCAGCAACGCTAACTGAACTTTGAGAACAAAAGGGAGAAGAACTAGAGCCACATAGAGAAGGAGGCAGAATACAAACATACTGTTGAAGATGACTAGGAGTAACATGATTTCTGGTGGATCTCCTAACAGGAGCTGGAGACAGACTAGGGGCAATAGGAGGAGCAGGAGCAGGTTCAAAGACAGGAGCAGAGTGAGGAACAGACACATGAGAAGGAATAGGAAAATAAGAGGGAGAAGCAACAGGTGTTAAGGATGAGACAAGATCAGGTTCAAGAGAAGAGGTGTAATGAAACTCATTAGAAGAGAAAGGAACATGAGAAGATGATGATGTAGAAGTAACAGAGGAAGGAGAGACTGAGGCAAAAGGGAAAATACCCTCATGAATGTCACAACCCGAATTTCACATTCTCGGGAGTCGTGATGGCACCTACTAGTGAAAACTAGGTAAGCCGATCATTTTGCACAAATTACTTATTTCCCATTTTAATTCTATAATAAGTGTGAATCAACAGTTATAAACAGCGGAAATTTAAAGTAAGCAAAAGAAACAATAAACCATTTGAATACGTATCAAATACAACATCTTAAGCAGAAATCTACCCAGAACTGGTGTCACGCTTCACAGACAGTCTAGAATCACTACAAACAAGGTCCGAAAAATAAATAATACACTATTTCGGAAATATGTAAATGAAACAGGATGAAGGGATAGAGGGAGACGCCAGGGCTTGCGGACGCTTGCAGAACTACTTCGGAATCTCCGACTGGACTGAAGGCAGCCACCCAAGCTAAGGTCTGAATACTGCTGCTCCCGGATCTGCACACAGTGCAGAGTGTAGTATCAATACAACTGACCCCATGTGCTGGTAAGTGCCTGGCCTAACCCCGGCGAAGTAGTGACGAGGCTAGGACCAGACTACCAAATACACCTGTGCAGTTATATCATATACAACGGAAATAAAACAGAAATATACAAATAAGGATGGGAGGGGGGCATGTTGCGAGGGAATATCATCTACCAACAGTAACTCAGGAGAAAATCATAAAGAACAATCTAAAATTTTGCGGCAGAAAGAATAAGGAAAATCGTAACAAATCAATAATCACTTTATCATTTATTGTTGTGGCGCGCAACCCGATCCAAATCATGAAAATGCTGTCGCGGTGTGCAACCCGATCCATAACATCTATCACCTGTTGCAGAGTACAACCCGATCCAATTATAATGTTGTTGCGGCGTGCAACCCGTTTCAAATATAATATTGTTGCGGCGTGCAACCCAGTCCAAATATAATATTATTGCAGCATGCAACCCGATCCAATTATAATACTGTTGCACGCGTGCAACCCGATCCAAATATAATTCAACACCAATCACAAAAAAAGAGACAGCAAGGGAACAATAAGGAAACAACACTATCCCGGCAAGGGAACCGACTATAAAAGTAAATACGTCCCAACAAGGGAGTCAGCTATAACCAAACTTATTCCAACATTTAACTTCACAAAGAAACCTCAACTAGCACCAATACTCAACTATAAGCAACTTCCACGAGAATACTCATAATTCTTGCCCGACACAGAAAGTCAACAACTTAGGCATTCGTAGTACTTCTTAAGAACACAATGATTTCAATTTAAGACTCACGGGTATGCTTGATACCAACGTATAGATATGCGTCACCATGCCTATACGTGGTACTCAACAAATAACGCATAGCAAATAGGACACAACTCTTAATCCCTCAATCTAAGGTTACACCAAACACTTACCTCGATGCCACAAAGACAATTCAAGTCTCAACTATCGCTTTACCTCTTGATTCCACCACCAATTCACTCGTATCTAGCCACAAGTTACTTAATTATATCAATAAATGCTAATTGAATCATTTCTAATGCATGAAAATAATTTTCTAAAGTTTTCTCCAAAAAGTCAAAAATCGCCCCTGGGCCCACATGGTCAAAACCCGAGGTTAGAACCAAAACCCGATTACCCATTCCCTTACGAACCCAAATATACAATTTATTTTGAAATCGGACCTCAAATCGAGGTCCAAATTTCCAAAATTTGAAAAACCTAGTTTCTACCTAAAACACCCAATTTTCCGAATGAAAACCTTTGATTTTGAGTAGAAATCATGTGAAAAGATGTTAAAGATTGAATAAAACGAGTTAGAAATGACTTACAATCGATTAGGAAGAGAAGCTGTCTTTGAAAAATCGCCCAAGAGTATTTTGGTTTTGAAAGAGTGTGAAAAATGGTTGAAAGGCATCTAAGTTATGAATTTACAGGTTGCAGGTATTGGAATTGTGACCAACGTCCGCAATTGCGAGCCCAGAAGTGTGCTATTCTCGCATTTGCAAAGGGACTTTCGCATTTGCGATGAATTTGTCGCATTTGCGACGATTGGCTACAACTGGAGGTATCACATTTGCGATGGGTACCTCGCATTTGCGAGGTGATGCTGGCCTGGGCTCTTTCGCATTTGCGACATAACTCTCACATTTGCGAGCCAGGCTTCACAAATGCGAAGTTTGCAGGCCTGCAATATACCAGTTAAAATCTGCAACATCCTAAGTCCAAATTCCCTCCGTGGCCTATCCAAAACTTACCCGAGCCCTCAGGGCTCCAACCCAAACATGCACACCAACCTAGAAATATCATGCGGACTTGTTCGTGCATTCAAATCACCAAAATAACCTCAACAATTAAGAATTTAGCATCAAAATTATGAAATCACTTAAGAACATCAAATTTTCCATTTTTTCTCAAATAAGATCCGATTCACGTCGTTTCAAGTCCGTTTCTTACCAAATTTCACAGACTCAACTTAAATCACATATAAGACCTGTACCGGGATTCGGAACCAATATACGGCCCAATACCATCAAATTACAAACACATTTTATTTCCAAAAACTAATAAATATTCCAGAAATAATTTTTCTTTAAAAATTCCTTTCTCGGGCTTGGGACCTCGGAATTCGGTTCCGGGCATATGCCCAAGTCCCATATTTTCCTACGGACCCTCCGGGATCGTCAAATCACGAGTCCTGGTCCGTTTACCCAAAATATTGACCGAAGTCAACTTAAACTTATTTTAATGGCAAAATTCATCATTTTTCATAGATTTTCACATAATGGTTTTCCGGCTACGTGCCCGGACTGCGCATACAAATCAAGGTTAGACAGAAAGAGGTTTTAAGGCCTCGAAACACAGAATTTATTTTTAAAACAAGTGATGACCTAATTCTCCATCTCTAAAACAACTGTTCGTCCTCGAACGGACATAAGAAGGAAGTACCTGAGTCGGGGAAAAGATGGGGATAATCGCTCCGCATATCGGACTAGGACTCCCAGGTCGATGCCTCAGCAGGCTGACCTCTCCACTAAACACGAACAGAAGGAAAACTCTTTGATCTCAACTGACGAACCTGCCGGTCTAGAATAGCTATTGTATCCTCCTCATAAGACAAGTCCTTGTCCAACTGGACAGTGCTGAAATCTAGCACGTGGGATGGATCGTCGTGATACTTCCCAATCATGGACACATGAAACACTAGATGCATGACTGATAAGCTCGGCGGCAATGCAAGTCTGTAAGCCACCTCTCCCACTCGATCAAGAATCTCAAACGGGCCAATGAACCTAGGGCTAAGCTTGCCCTTCTTCCCAAATCTCATCACACCCTTTATAGGCGACACACGAAGCAATACCTACTCACCGACCATGAAAGCCAAATCACAAACCTTACGGTCGAGATAACTCTTTTGCCTGGACTGAGCTATACGAAGCCTATCCTGAATGATCTTGACCTTGTCCAAGGCTTCCTGTACTAGATCCGTACCCAACAACCGACCCTCCCCCGGCTCAAACCATCCAACCGACACCTCCTACCATACAAAGCCTCATAAGGAGCCATCTGGATACTCAACTGGTAGCTGTTGTTGTAGGCAAACTCTGCTAAAGGCAAAAACTGATCCCACGAGCCTCCAAAGTCAATGACACAAGCTCGGAGCATATCCTCCAAAATCTGAATGGTCCATTCGGACTGCCCATCCGTCTGAGGATGAAACTCTATGCTCAACTCAACCGTGTGCCCAACTCCTGCTAAACTGCTCTCCAGAAATGTAAGGTAAACTGCGTACCTCGATCCGAAATGATAGACACGGGCACACCATGAATACGACAATCTCCCGGATATAGATCTCAGCTAACCTCTCGGACGAATAGGAGACTGCCACATGAATGAAATATACTGACTTGGTTAGCCTATCAACAATAACCCATACTGCATTGATCTTCCTCTAAGTCCGTGGGAGTCCAACAACAAAGTCCATAGTGATACGCTCCCACTTCCACTCAGGAATCTCGATCTTCTAGAACAAACCACTGGGCCTCTGATGCTCGTACTTAACTTGCAGACAATTCAAACACCGAGCCACATATGCAATGATATCCTTCTTCATTCTTCTCCACCAATAATACTGCCACAGATCCTGATACATCTTCGGGCGTTCGGATGAATAGAGTACCGGGAACTATGGGCCTCCTCTAAAATCAATTCTCGAAGCCCATCCACATTTGGCACACAAACGCGACCTTGCAGCCTCAAAACTCCATCATCTCCTAAGGTAACCTGCTTGGTACCTCCGTGCTGCACCGTGTCTCCAAGGA